AGGTCTTCTTAAATCCTTCTCAGCAATGTTTTATAGTTTTCAGTGTACAGTTCTTACACACACTTTGTTGAGTTTTTTTCCCTGATTGTTTTGTTTTGGGGTGGTCACTGTAAATGGTACTTTTTAAAAATTTCAATTGCCAACTACTTGGCTTTATCACCACTACTGGCTTATGAGCGTTTTGCTGACGGTCTGGAATTTTGGGGCTCTGTTCTGACGCGCTGTCACCCCGAACCCCTCAAATCCCTGTCTAAGCTCTGCCAGGACAGGCGCAGAGAAGCCTTCCCTCCAGGACGGAGTGCTCCCCTGCTAAGGCACAAAGACGCCATGCAGACTCCAGCTAATGTCCCTGGTGACCTCCAAACTCTTTACTCTGGGTGGTTCAAGCTTAAATGCCTATCTCTTTGGTCTACATAAACTCTAATAGCAGTTCAGCTCAAAATGTTCCAGTCTTTTTACCTGGAGTTGTGGAATTTTCCCCACAGTTGAACGGCCTGATGTTCAACAAATGCTCAAGGGAGTCTCATTTGGATTTCTGAAGCTCTGTCTCTAAGTAGCTCCCTCTTCTCTGGGACACTACTACACAACTTCTAGCTGCCTTACTATCCCCCAAGCCCAGTCTCCATGTCCTCCATCAACAAGCCCCTTGTGGTATATCTGGTTTCCCTGTCACACGCTTATACCTGGCAATTGCCTTCAGGTGGAAAGTCAGGGGACACAGGGATCACCTCATTTGTGTCCCAACCCTCTATGTTGACTATTAGCCAATGTTTGAAAACAGATGTTTCATAGCCTTTGTCCAATTTTCCAGTTGTGCAGGGCTGTCTGAGTCAAGTTCTTGACACTGTCTCCCGGCTGCAAGTTGAAGCCCACACCTCATTTTTAAAGTATTTTTGTACCATCATTGGATTTCAGCCTCACAAGAACCCCCAAAGAGCAAAAATATAATCAGTGAGAAAATATATCACCAACAGAGGATACAGAATAACTGAGAATATTATAACGAAAGTATCAATAATTGCTAACATTTATTGAGTACTTAACTTATGTGGCAGGCACCATATTAAGTACTTTACATAAGTAAGTTCATCTCATCGGTGCGACAGCGTTATGAGGTAGGTTTTTTCTGCAGAAGAGGACCCTTAAACACAGGCAGGCTCAGTACTTTTCTAACATGACAATGCCGGTCAACGTGGGCAGGGCTGAGAAAGGGAACGAGCCACCTGGCTCTAAGGCCCAAGCCCTTAAGCCACTCTACTGTGACAACCAAGCTGTTATTGTCTATTGTATACGCACAAGCCTTCTGCACACAAAACAACTCGGAGGACAAGGGGGAAGAGTACGGGTTATGGGGGAAGGAATGAGACCGAGAATAGAGCAATGATTCTCAAGTGCCAGCTTCTCACGCAGGGGGGGAACGGCAAAACCGCGTTCTCGAAGGTCCTTGTGGTTGGGCTATAAAATAAATACACTCTCAGAACCCTCCCAGAGACACCATGTAATAAATGACAATTAATCCACAGAAATCTATTTAACCATAATACAGCCCCAAACAGCAGCTTTATCAACAGTCTGTAAATAGGTGCTGCAAATTGTCCTGAGAGCGGAAGACACAGTCCAAGAGTCCAACGAAACCCTACTGTCCTGAAGCTTGTGTCTCTACAGAAGACAGACAAATAACACACAAGTAAAAAGAGTAAGGAGTAAGATGACTTCAAAGAGGAAGCGCTAAAGGAAATTGTAAAGGCTGCCGGGACCCAAAGAGGGAGAGTCAGGTGCTATTTTAGAGGGCACAGTCACGACCAGGAACGCCAAAGACGGGACGAGTGAGAAGAGACCTGAAGAACAAGAAGGTGGACCTCGAAACCAGGAGTTAAAAGCTCTTCATACAAGAATTACAAAATAAAGTTGCAAAAGAACTGCATTCAAAAACACTGGGCGGCCAGAGGGGCTAAATGTAGTAAAAATGAGATGGTTTAAGATAAAGTTGACGTGAAAAGCAAGAACTGAGTTTTATTTTTTAATTTTACTTCACTATGTATGCTTATTTTCAACTTGTATTATTTTCAATCAAGTTTAATATGCTCTTAAATACTTCAAACTATCATGTCTATCTATTTTTGGCAGAGTCACCAAACTGTTCAACTCCCCCAGGCTTCTCTAACCTGCCCAGTCAGTCTCTACAGCTGTGTATACACCCCTCTGAAAAGAGTGCTAATGAGCAAAACAAGCGTAACGAAATCAGGGTTCTCCATGGAAAATAAAGCATCCAATCCAGCCGATTTTAACGAAATGACTCAATGTTTTGACGTGGAAGCAAAAAAGCAGAAGTTATTCTGTGCATCCACGAGCTCTTATCTGACCTTTACCACAGGAAACTCAGAGGGGCTCCTGTGGCGATATCAGAATCGCTTCTCCCTCTCACACGCCACTGTGGTCTAGAGAAAAAGGCAAAAACAACAAAGTTAATGAACTTTTAACAGTCATTTACAAGAATTTCTAAGATGTTTATGGACATTCTGAAAGTGATTTCATAAATGTGGAAAATTTACAGGGTTTTTTTTTCTGACTAAGAACGATCCATCTCATGAAGTTCTACAAGACAAAAATCTTTGTGCCTGAAATACCTGATAGTTGTCCTTGATTGTTATTTATTTTCTACCCTTCTTCCCCAATTTGACATGCTGATATATTATAGCTTCAATAGTTTGTGTTTTATATTAAAATATATTAATAAAAGATTACATGAGAATAAAAAAAACAGATAGAAACTAAGATGTTGGTTCTTTGATTTTGACTCATTTATGACAAAAATGATTAAGAAATCTAACCACCCTAACCAATTAGGAGGAAAAAACAACAACAAAATAAAACGAAAAGACAGAGTACTTTGTTCAGCCCTGCTGGTTTTAACGGCTCCAACTCTTCGAGGCCCGGTGGACAGAAGACACCCGGCGAAGTGCCCTGGCCACACTGCCGACCCCGCCAGCTGAACAGCTCCCCGTCCTCCCAGCCACCTGTCCATAGGCTCCTCCTGCTGGGCATACGAACATCTTCCGAAAGTCCTGTCTTCGAGGCAAATAAATCAACAGTTCTCATGTCGTTAACTGTCATTTTCCTAGTATAAAATGTTTTCTGCCCCACGGGTAAAATCACGGTTTTTACAAAATATGGCTCTCAGCAAACATCGCAGCAGACAGACCGACACAGGACGTCCGTCAGCGCCCAGTCCGACGCAGGGTGAGGCACCAGCCTCGCCCCACAATCTGACCCAGGATATTCAATTAGAATCCAAGTCAAAGCTCGACACTTAACTTTCTCGGTTTACAAGAAACATAGGGGACAGAGAAACAAGTTAAGGAAACAATCAAATAGAAAACTGGTCTGGACACTTCAAAATGTCAATGCCAGGGGGGATCGAAGTAGGGGACCCAAGTAGACCCTAAAGAGATATAATCACCAAATGCAAGGTGTCAACTTTGTTTGGATTCTGGTTTTTAATAAAACACTATGTAAAGGCATTTAGATGAAAATGGGGAAAATCTAAATGTGAACTGGCCATCAGACTCTGCAGTTGAAAGGATATGTGCATCCTTTCTTCCCTCTTTCCTGCTGTTTTCCCTGCTTTAGTGATTCCATTCCCCTTTCCTCTGCTTGTATGCAGTATGAAAACTGTTACTTTTCATAGTTTGACAGCTACTCTGTTTGGTAAGAGAACACCCTCATTCTTAAGAGAGGTGTGCTGAGTTAGGGACCAGCTGTCACATCTGCCACTTACTTTCCAATAAACCAGCGAAAAATCATAAGTACACAATTACGTGTGTATATGTGTATGGGAGGGAGATAAATAAAGCAATTATTAAGAATCTTTTAATCTAATGTAAAGGACAGCATGGGAAATATAGTCAATAATATTAGAATAATTATGTGTGATGCCAGGTAGCACTGGGAATATCAGGGGGACACCCTGTAAAGTATGTGATTGTTTAATCACGGAGCTGTACACCTAAAACTGATACAAAAAATACTGAATATAAAGTGTAATTAAAAAATAAAGTTTTAAAAAATATTTGGGTCCAGACATAGGGAATTCAACCATTCTTTCAACTTGAATATAGATCTGAAATATGTTTAAATAAAAAAGTCCTTCTCTACCTCGAGGTTATAAAGATACCCTTCTACACTTTTTTTTATTAATGGTGTAGCTTTACCTTTCACAATGAGATTTTTGATTCCTCTAAAATTCATTCTGTATGTGGCATGAGATAAAGATCAGTTTATTCTCCTCTACATAAAGCTTTCCCTGAACGACCTTGAAATGATTTGTCCTTTCCCTAGTGATTTGTGGAGGAGGATTTCGGTTCCACTGAAAGAGCTAAGCAGAGGAAAGGGGAAAGGAATCACTAAAGCAGGGAAAACAGCAGGAAAGAGGGAAGAAAGGATGCACATAATGAAAGTAATAGAACTTAGCTGAGGAAAGACTAAGGAAAAATGAAGCTACTATCCACTTCCACATTCACTTAAGTATACAAGAAGTCAATGAAAAAAATAACCAAAAACCTATTGTAAAAAATATGCACAATCAAATCTATTCAGAAAACACCTAAATTATGTGGTATAATCTATTATCAAATCTATTCAGAAAACACCTAAATTATGTGATTGATACTACAACAAAAAGAACGTTTCCAGAAATTACACCGTCTCCTCCCAATCAGTACATTGGATTATGTTATACTAAGCATTTATTCCACTTAGAGCAAAACGGGTGGGTGGGAAAGTATTATAAGAGACATTAAACGCATCTTGAAGACTTTTTCTAAACTTTGAGATTCTAGGGGAACATTTAAAGGTGACTTTAAAAACTGTTTCTTAAACTCAGCACCTAGGTCAGACATTAAAAACACGAACTTACAGAACTCGTAACTCTCTGTTCCGTTACCCGCAGCAAGTCAGGAAACACAAACGTTCTCCACACGACAAGTCTAAATAAAACACACCTTTTGTTTTCAGCCAGGCTGGCTCCCTCGTCCTTCAGCTGTCTGCTTTTCTGGGCACAGCCTTCCAGGAGCACTTCTTTCCGGCGTTTACTGGCATGAAGCCAGTTCCCTTCATCACTCTCCGTGCTGGCATCCTTCTCATCGGCAGCTTCGGCTTCAAACTGCTGGGAAGTGACCTTTGAGACCTTCTCACCAATTTTCCTCTTCCATCCAAAGGAAGCCATTCTGGAAAGTGACAAAGAAACAGCTTTAAATTTCAAACTTGGCTCTTTAGAGAAGGATGCCAACTAGATGAATAAGGAATAAGGATCTGACTACCATTGGTTTTTAACACCTAATTAACCAGTGGCCCTAGGAAATAGTCATCAAAGCCTGCTAACTAAACACCAAGAAAGACACGTGGACATTATGCATCTCTTGATGGAAGCGACACTCCACCCACATGGACTCCGTCCAAAACTTCATTCTGAATCAGATCTAGCCTCCAGATGAGCATGCAAAATAATATGAGATGCAGACACATAAAAAAAGCAGAAAAATAAATGAAGCTGGCTTCTTCAAGAAATAAACTGTCAGAAAAAAAGAGAGAGGGAGAGAGGAAGATTGGAGGTAAACCCTTAGATTACAAGAGACTAAGAGATACAGTAACTAAATAGAATAAGTGGATCTCTTTTAGCTCTGGGTTCAAACAAGCCAATGGGGAGAAAACAAGGGGAATCAGAACACTGATCTGATATCTAATGATATTAAAAATAGTGGTATTTTAGTTGTGATAAATAATATTATGATAATGTTTATTTAAAACGTCTTTATCTTTTAGAAATATATGCTAAAATATTTCACATGAAATTATATGATATTTAGGAATTGTTTCAATGTAATCAGTGGGGGTTGGGATACAGCAGAGGAGAAATATAGATGAAAAGTTTGCTGTGAGTGAACAGCTGACAAAGTTAGGTGACCACCAGTACATAAGATTCCTTATACTTTTCTCTCTTCATGTATGTTCAACATTTTCCATAATAGTTTTTAAAAAATGCATATCTGGCAAATTCACAGTATTGGGTGAATCAAAAAAATAACAAATGTTAAACTGTTTTGCAAATCTGCAAAGATATACAAATGTAAGAGATAAAGAACAAAAGCATACTGACAGAACAAAGTGAACGGAAACCCTGGAAGAACTCAACAAACATTTACTTAGAGAAGGGATTCACTGAGGGATCCGAGAACTCTTACTAATTACATGGATGGGCTTAAAAATACTGAGAAACCCATGGAATTTTTATAAAATTTTGTATACACCTGTGTTCATTCTTAAAGGGGTCTAGGACCCCCAGGAGCTTAGAGTTCAGCTGATCAGCTTGAGGGATAGGAAACCCAATCACCCAGAAGTCCTCAGAAAACTATCAAAGAAAGGGTACTGTGGGAATAGGGGAGAGAGAAAACTGAAAGAGTGAATGAGTTCTAACAGCTATCAAGGTCTTCACTACTAATTCCCACCTGCAGTGTAAGTAATCACTAGGAGGAGGGGGCAGAACAGGGAGCAGGGCTGTGAGGCCGCTCACCGGGAAAGGCCCGAGATAATGACAGAACTTGCAGGGGCAAGAAAATTGTGAATAATGTGCCTAAGTTCTTTTATTTTAAGATTTTATTTATTTATTTATTTATATCTAGAGAGTGAGAAAGAAAGAAAGAAACATCAATATGTGCTTGCCTCCCACACACCCCAAAGTAGGGACCTGGCTGACAACCCAGGCATGTGCCCGAACTTCAAATCAAACCGTTTTCATTCACTGGCAGGCACTTAATCCACTGAGTCACACCAGCCAGGACATATGCCTAAATTCTTGATGAACATGAGCGCCAATAACTTACAGCAATCAGGAAGTGCATAGGCTGATACGGGTGAGCCAGATGCTTTACGATGCTTTACAAAGGAGCAGGGATTTTTAGAAAAACCCAAAGAAGGATACTAGGGGATTAGGACAATGTCAAACTCTCTCCCTAGACCCATTATAATATGAGAGATGAGACTCCTATGTCTGAAGATGACTATAAGTAACTTAGGGGAAGAACCAAGAAATGGCTAAAAATGGAAGTGTGGTTACTATGGGACAGAAGTCCAGAGGCACAGACTGAGGACAACGTGAGAGAACAGATCATTAGGGAAGTCTCACAAGATACCAGGATAATTCAGGATCAGATAGAAGGGTTGTGTTTATGACTGTCCTTAAGTGACAAGGATGAAGATGATTTAGTTTCCTGGTTTCAAGTTTCCGAACGGAACTTGTGAGGTACCCTAGCCCTGTGCATACAGATGGACACGTGGTGTGCTTCCTAAAGGCAAATTACATCATAACTCACCGGTCAGATCTGGAGATTATTGGCAGCAGGGGTTAGGGTAGGAAGAAAAGGATAAAAAGGACAGACGCACATGTATTTTTTAAAAATTAATACTTCATTTAGACTCTCACTACCACCCCCATGCTCCAACCCAAACCATTGTTTTAAATGCTGAAGACAGGCAGGTACAGGTCAAGGCCCCAGATGGTGGTTCTCAGCCTTGAATGAAGAAGCCACACTCCTCACTGCCGCAGGCGTTTCTGACATTCTTCTCCAGAAACCCTAGAGATCAAAGGCTGTGGAGGCCAGGACTCAGTGAGGCTTTAGGAGTATAATAGGCCTGATGTCCCCTATCAGTTGACAAGTTTAGCCTTGAAGAGAGGGACAAGAATACATTCCTCTTGGACAAGAGCTAATATTGAATGAAAACTACAGGCAAGTTCGAGGGAGAAAAAAAGAAAATGACAAATTTCATACCCCCAAGCTTCCCATTTTTTAGAGAAATAGGAAGCTAGTCACCTGTGCCAAGTAAAGGGAAAAGAACAGATCTGAGACATGACAACAGAAAAGATCTGAAACAGCCACTGTGAAGGACAGGAAAAGCAACCAAGGGATGCCAAACAGCATCGAGGGTGCAGAGGTTAAAAAGCACCAACCTCTGACCAAAACCAAAAGGACAGTTTTATACTCTCTTCAAAATTGTCTGGATACCACAATTACGGTTTGCGGTACAAAATAAGTGCTATCACAGAGTAAGCAAAAGATGCTAGAATGTCAGAGAAGAAACACTTCGGGTGGGATAGACTGAAGAATAAAAATTAGCCAGGTTTTTTAAAAGACAGGTGAGTCCTACAACATATACAACAACACACTTTCCCCCTTGGAAAATTTAACACTTCCAACTGATTCAGATACCTTAAATAATACATGTTTATTGTTCTTCTAAGGCGATTTGAACACTAAATTAAAACTTCTTGTAAAGCAGGCTTTCTTGAATCTGTAGTTAGATGCGCAAGGCACCAACACCCCAACCTTTGTATTTTCCACCAGGATAGAAAAACCGTATAGATAAATCATAGTCAAATTGCTTTCATGCTAAATTCATAAAACGACACAAAATCGTTTCAAGCAGAATTGTATTTAATTAATGCCATGAAAATTCTAAACAAAGATGTTGCGTTCTACATTCTTTTGCTGATACAATGAACCCTACAGTAGGCACTGGATTACTGCTGCCGGCGTGACAGGTCGCCCAGGCCCCAGCCTGAAGCTCGTCCTCGCAGCGCCGGAGGGTGCAGCACCGGAGGCGAAACCCCTGGGTGAACACGGCCAGGAAATCAAAACAGAACTCTTCTGGGCACAGCATGTATTCGGAGGTCAGGAAGTCAAGAAACGATTTACCCGAAAATGTCACCGCAAGACTGAACCCAGTTATTAGCGACCTCCCTTCATTTTTCACAACAATAACAACGTGCCAACTTCATCAAAGCTGCCCGGAACGTCCACGCGAGCCCCCAGCCCCGCCCTCGGCCGCGGCCGCAGACACAGCGCCCTCGGTTCCGCTCCTCCCACTGCTAAACCGCACCGACTCCCAGAAGGCGCAGGAGCCGCCAGAGCGCGGCTTCTAGGAGGGCCGGACCCCCAGACTGCTCGTCCCTAGACACCAACCTTGGTGTCCGGGTTATGCCACAGCCCAGCTAAATCTCAACTGCAACTTCTGAAGCACCTTCTCCCCTAACCACGACTCCCACTCGCCCCCTTTTCCTGCTCTTCCTCGGGTTTCTAGCCCCAATCGGGTGGCCTCACTTACCTGAGACAACTTCGATCCCGTGTTTACATTCCGCTTGACCTTTGCCCACAGGAAGCGGAAATCATAATGCCCAACCTCTGACCTGCCTACCTTTAAAGCCTAGGCTTCCAAGATGGGAAGTTGACTGACCGCGCAGCGTCCCAACTGTCCGGAGAAATCCGCAGGAAAGAGGCGCTTCTCAAAGCCTTTTTTAATCTGCGAATCTCTTTCCCTGGACCACAAATCCCAGAAGTCGCTGCGGCCAACCCCACCCCATTACCCTCTGGGGTTTGTAGTCCAGGCCACCCCGGCTGGGGGTGCCCTCTATCGGCAGGAGGGAGTGTCGAGTGCGCAGGCGCTCGCGCTGGGAGAGCAGGGCAAACTGGTTGCGCCCGCCCAAGTGCGCTCGGATAGCAGCCTGCGGAGCCTGGCGGTCCACCAGCCAGTGATTTGGGGGGCTTCACTGCATAAAGATATGCCCCTGCTGTAAACGAGGTCACGCCCTAGCTAATGAGGTCGGCCACACGCAGAGGCCCGAGTCAAACAATGAAAAGGGGTCTGGGGAGCGGATCCCAGGGTGCAGGCTCTGGGCTTCATGTAGGAAAACAGCGGAACCGAGAAGGGAGAAGAATTATGGTCTAGGGAAAAAAAAGCTGTGCTTCACGTCTCGAAAATAAGTGCGGGAAAGGCACCCAGGGAAATGTCGAGGCAACTGAAAACTTGAAATGGTTGTCACTGCAGCTGCGGGGGTCGGCCAGGCTCCTTCTGCCGAGGCCCCGCCACCAAGGTGGGGAGACCGGCTCACGGCTCACGCGGCCGCCGCTCGGAGCTTCGCAGCGGCCACGGGCCCCAGCCGCCAGACGCCCACCGCAACCACCGCTGCCGACAGCAGTGACCTCCCGGGACGTCTCCCCACGTCGCCAAACGTCCCTGTAAGAAAAGTTCTGCCACCGCTGCCCCGTGAAGACCCGCCGATCCCCGAGACCGTGTCTAAGTCAAAACCGTTTTCACACTGCTATGGAGACATCTTGGACACTTCCCAACGCCGACCTGAGTTTGCTCAAAGCAGGGAAAGGCGTGAGTGGAGAAGCGCGGGCGCCTCCGCGGCCATCGAAGCGGCGATCGCAGCGCATGGGCAGTCGCTTCTTCCCCCACACAGAGCTCGGAAAACTCGTCCCTCCAGACGGCCTTGGGGAAGCAGTGAAGATTATTAAAATGGCCCTTTCGTACAATTCCTTTGAATGCTCTGCAGGAGGAGGGCTTACTCACGGGGTACTTGTGCTGCACTCTGAAGTGCGACGTCCCCGTACATGCGCCTGTGAGATCGCCTTGCGGACCGAAGTGCCCACGGCTTGACTGGGGCACAGCTTCTACCCACGACGGACGGACCGGCTGGCTATTCCAGGCTTGGGCAGTTGATGGGACGTCTCTAGACAATGAACAAAGGGAGCCTGTTTCTTGCAAGAAAACTGTTGCCAATGATAAAATTCAAAAATTGAAACAAAACCTGTGATTTTGGGAAAAGATCTGCCATAACGATCTTGACAGCTTCCCAATACTTCCTTACTTTTCACAGATCATCTCGGGTGATAGATGTGACTTGTATGTATATGGTTGGATTAAAAGGCATCAGCATTCGTCAGAGCTGCGTCAGTGAACCTGTAGATCAAAGGCAGTCAGCGCACGACCGCGGGGGCCAGCCTGCTCCTGGCACCCACTCCCGTGATTCCTTCCCACTTTGCACCGGGGTAGTTCGTGCTAATTACAGGACATCGTTTTATGTTCTAAATTATAAGAGACGCTAAGATGGGGGCAGTGTCTCTTAAGCTGGGTAGAGGTTTATATACCATGTTCACCACAAACCTACAACCCTGAAAATTGGAGCCACTTACGGTTTGTGTACTTTTCTGCATATACCTCTATAAAAGTCTTTAAAGTGCATCCATCTTCCCAAGACACTCAGGGCTGCTTGTATGCTCTGGAGTTACATGGGCAGTGCTTGGTTAAGAGTAGCCATAGGAGGGGATATAAATTCACAGAATAATCAAATGATGCATGAAGTTGCCCTGCTCGGTGTGGCTCAGTGGACTGAGCCCCAGCCTGCAAACCAAAAGGTCACGAGTTCCATTCCCAGTCAGGGTACATGCCTGGGTTGCAGGCCAATGTTTCTCTCCCTCTCTTCCCTTCTCTCTAAAAATAGTCTTTTTAAAAAAGTGACAGCGTAAACAGCCAACAGAATAGCCCTCCAGAGTGAATCAATCAAAATTATTACTTTTTTTTGTCAGATCAGCAAAATCCATTTTTCGGTGTGTTGCAGAATTGTAGTAACTAGTTTGTGTGTGCCATGAGATGAAAAAGGTTGAAAAGCGGCCCAGCCGATGTGGCTCAGTCGGTTGGGCGTTTGCCCCACAAAGCTAGAGGTTACCACTTAACAGGCTGGGCACGGGCCTGCTTTGTGGTGTTCAGTCCCAACGAGACGCACAGGAGAGGCAGCAGATGGACGTCTCACTCTTCCACGCACCTCTACCTCCCCCTTCCCCTCTCTCTGAAATCAGTGAGCGTGACCTTGGGTAAAGATTAAAAAAAGAGGATGACCGAAAATTACTTAGTTCAAACCTTGCCTAACAAAAAACCACATGGAATACAAGATTTAATTCTAACTGAATTCTACCAGTAGTGTAATTCTAACTCTAACGTTAGAAGCTGGAGAGAAATGGCAGATGCTTTGGCTTTTATCATATATTTTTAAATATTTTGTTCAGGTGGTTGATTTTTAGATGAAATCAAAACTAATTTAGTTGCGATAAAAATTACAATGTTTGAATGTTAAAGTTTGTTCAAGCACTACATTTTATATTTAGGCACATTCTTTTAAAAGGAAGGTGGTGCAGATGGTCAGCTATAAAGTGCTGTATTCTTTTATTTAGTTTTCCCAGAGGTTAAAAAAAGTTAAGCACATCGTAACATGAAAAATGGTTTTCTTCATTATCCATTTTCTAAATGCATTTTAAATTACACACTTAAATATACTCCATTCAAAACAAACATGAGCATGTCTCAGAATACTGCACTACCAACACTGATTTCTACACCCAATTTATAGTTGTGTTGTATGTGGGGTCTCATTCATCCGGTCAGAACTCAAAATGAAAATGAAATCTCCACTGGAGGTAGGCAGTGGAAGGAGTTAGTTAAGATTTAAACAACACGCATTTTTCTTTCATCCAAAGGTGCCAGTCAGAGCTCAGGGGCAGTCCTGCGTCTGTGAATAGTGCCACTACGGGGTCAAAAAGGGCAGGGCAGGGGAGAGGAGGGCAGAACTGTTTGCACCAAGTCATTTAAAACTCTGCAAAACTATACAAGCATCTCAAGAGAAAATATAATCAAAGTAAAAGCAATGGAGTTTATTTCAGTGAAATTATTTTAAATTAGATATGATATATTAAGCTCCCATGTCCCCCAACCTGGTAGAAAAATTCCTCTCAGAGAGAAATCATTTATTTTAATGGCAAAATTTTTACATTTCAGTAAAATCTGTTATATTTAAAACTATGTATATAGTACATTTCTGGCAAAAACCTTATACATCTTTCAGTTGTCAAAACAAAGTAAAAATATGGTTGCATAAAATCACAAAAAATATAAATTGCTGAAAAGATAATAAAAAAAGATTAAAAATCATTTGCATTGACTCCTTTACATCTTCAATTAGTAAGAATTTGCAAACTACAATAAATTCATGAAAATTCTGGTGCAACCTTTACACACTCAATCAAAAGTTGTCATTTCAAATACCCCAGCTTAAAAAAGAATTTACTGCAATAGTCCGTGCATTTATCATACTATTTGTACAAGTGCAATATTAAGTATCTTCACAATAAAACTCAGTAACTAAAAGGAATCACAATAACTTAAAAAGAAGCAAAGTGTACAAAATTAACAATTTTTGGAAGGTCCTATTGAATTGGTTCCTCCTTTTGCTCCCCACCCACCCCAACAGCTTATAGAGACATTACAACAATGTCTTAGTTCTATATACATATTTGTAACTTTAAAAATACAGTTGTCTGTTCTTAACATCAGGAACACATGTTGCATTTAGAGACCTACTTAAAATCAGTATCTTTAAAACAAAGGGGCCACACTCAAGTTAGAACACAGTTTGGAACTTGTATTTAAATGGAACTGCTATCCTTTTATATAGCTTTCAGATTCCAAATTGAACAGAAGCAGCCCTGGACAGAAAGGAGCCAAGGTTTTTCATTTGAATTCAGTGCATGTTTCTAGGGGCGCTAGAGCCAAATCTGCAACTACAGTAACTGTGCAAGCTCTCCTGACATCTGAGTATATTCTTGTTTAATTACACAGGTGCTCAAAGTATTTGCAAAATAAAAACAAACATAAAAACTTCATATTAACAAGTAGTCTTAAAAGGGAAAAAAGATAACTCTGTTGCAATGGAAAACTGATTAACAGGAAAAATATCAATTTCTTAAAGTTAAAATAGTATAAGGCAAATATGGGTAATATTTTTATTTTTAATTAGCATACATGATACTAATTTTATCTGAGGTGACTTTAAATCTTCATTTATACCTATTATGTAATGCTATTACTAAGTGCAACAAAAACAACATATACCAGAAGTCTTAGAAAGATAAAGCATCTTTAGACAGTTCCCATAATGCCACTTTTTAAAAAGTAATTAAAATTCAAAGCAAATATGACCATTTAGAACTGTCCAATTTGTTCCATATTTCATCAAAATGTCATATCCGACTAAGGACACACAACCAAATGCAATGTGTAAACTCGAATTGGACCTGGTTCGAAATAACCAGCCATAAAAGAAATCTGGAGAACAAGTGAGGAATCTAAATATGCATGATTAGATGACATTAGGGAATTATGTTTGTGATAGGACTGCTTTTCAAGGACAGTATCATTATTTTGAGCTCATGCTTGACCTGTCGAGGGCCAATGAGTATGTCTACAACATCCAAATGGTTCAGGGAAGAAGAACATATCATACAGACACATATATATGTATAACCAGATCTATATACATGACTAGATATAAAGCAGATGTGGCAACATGTTAACAAGCATTGAATCCAAGTGATGGATACACATGTAAAAATGTTTATAATAAAATTTGGGAGAAAAAGTCATATCTGAACATTGAAACAGTTTGTAAGAGATGTTTTTTCTGTGCACTGAATCAGTTTAAAAGATACATAACAGAATAACAAGAAGTGTTTGCACACACTCAACACTGACTGACAAGTGCAGAGGAATCTGTGAGATTGGCAAAAACCACATGATTTATTTACAGTATATGCAACTCAGCTCTTTATGTGACAAAAAGAGCAATTTATGTACAGAATACAACGGGACAAATTGTTAAGATTAAACTTAGTGCCTAGAATATCTCAACATGTTTATTCTGTGTGTTTTTCTGACTTAAGTAAAGAAAGAACTGTCACGAGTCTGAAGAGCTTTGATGTGACTTACCGTGTGCTGCAGCCCCCTGAGGAGGGACACGGAGGAGCCGGCCACCCGCACCGTCCCTACCATCGGGAAATACCCGCTACTTACGTTAACGGGCCTAGAAAACAAAACTCACCTCTAAAGTTCTCTTGAGGATTCTAGGCAAATATTTATTGAACAAATTCATGAAGCAAATATATAACACAACGTGTAATAATATATGAAGGCCTTTATGGTAAATTAATATTCTACAAAGCCCTGTGTACAACTAAATATAAAATAGCCAAAAATCAAGTGAGCCTGAGAGACGTATTCATTGTGTATATTATATTATGCTATATGCCTACTGAACAAAAACAAAATTATCTTAATTCATTTTTGCACATTAGAATGTTAACTACTGATCACATTCCAATCCTTGTGCAAAAAATATTCTGAAAGGCCAACCTCAGTTATAATAATATATAACTTGATTATAAATGGAAGCATTTGGCTATGATTTATTATGCATGCTTATTGCTATCAAAGAAATAAGCAAAGTTTTAGGTTTACTGTGCAAGAATTTTAATTAGATTCGCGCACATCTCAAAAAATTCTATTGTGTGACTTCCGGGTCTTGGAGTTAAGTCAACAGGAGAAGAGTCCAGTGAGGTCACGGATGAGGTAAGAGAAGCTTCTGAGGATTTTCCGTGAGCCTCAGCATCTGAATCACTCCTTTGGCAAGATCGATAGTTGCTAACTGATCCCGACCTCTGTGGCGTAGCGGTCCCTGACTTGGCTTCAGTCATTTCATCTGGGTAAAACAAGAATTCAAGTTATTATAATCCATTACACCCACTACAAAAGAATTTTAATAGTACTTCATTTTCTTCTCTGAGTGTGGCCATTGACTAGCCAACAAGAGCATGTCTATTTTGAATACTTTCTCAAACAGAGGAAAAGCACCTGTGTGAAATTACTCACCTTTTAAAAAATAATCTTACTAATTTATTTATTTATTTATTTTTAGATTTTATTTATTTATCTTAGGAGGTGAAGAAAAAGAGAGAGGGAGAGAAATATTAATGTATGGTTACTTTTCCTGCATCCCCTGCTGGGAACTGGCCTGCAACCCAGGCATGTGCCCTGACTGGGAATCGAACCACGATCCTTTGCTTCACAGGCCCGCACTCAATCCACTGAGGTACACCAGCCAGGGCTTACTCACCTTTTTTACATACAACATGTATTCTCCTGATGGCTAATCAAGATTGGGTACAGTACACAGCTACTCATCAATCTTGCAATCCAAGATTAAGAGCCCAATAAACTAATAACTTGTGGCTTAATAACCATCATTCCCTAGCAATAAAAATTAACCCCTCTAAAATAAAATGCACAGAATAAATGCACTCTTTGAAGATATTTTGGAAATCATCTCATCCAACTCCTCGTTTTTTTGATATGAAAAGACACCCCCAAAAGTTAAGTGACTCCCCATGGGTAACAAATAAACAGAGAACCCAGATCTCCTAACTCCCATCTCGGAGCTTTTCACTCTCCATTTTCTCTCCGTATTTGATTAAAGATCTCATAAAAGAGCAGCAATGCTCCAAATCATGGCAATGAACAAAAGCAAGAAAAAACTGAAGTTAGGAACACAATACAAAAACAGTAAATGGTCGCTGCATTGGTAAACATAGGTGCTGAGGTCGAGAATCTGATCCAAATACAAAGAAGTAAAACCACTCCGTATCTCAGACTGCAGTAGGACAGGCTGGCAGACAAATGCCCTTTAGACGTAAAGATGAGCAGTCAAACAGGTTTGGCCAGCCCATCACAACCCATCCGTCTCTGTGATACTATGTAGACTCTACCTCTGAGTTTATAGGGAAGATAAAAAATTCGCGCGTCACTCTCACCTGACGATTCCATACAATCTTAGAGGAACAAAAATGACAACACATCTTAACTCAATTGATCTGGCCAATGAAGAAAGGCCATAAACATTTAAGCACACTTTTTGAAAGGTAAATAAAATTGGAATCATGTAACTAACAAAAACTATAAAAGATGCTGTCTCTGAGTTCAGAGGAGAAAATCACCAGAAGCCCCTACAAGCGGGTCTCTCCTAAGTGGCCAGCAGGAAATGGTACTCAGCAAATAGTTCCCTGTCCTGTGAGCGACTAATGAAATCTACTTACTGCGCCTTTTCGCTCAGCTCGAAAAGCTAGTAACTATCCTCTAATCCTTAAATGAAAAAAATAAAAATTTTATTAAGTATCAGATATAAAAATTATTTAATGAAAATGTACAGAAAAGGCAATGATTATTTCTAAATAAAACATTTTATCTTGTCAGAACGAACCACATTCAAAAAACAGAAATGTGGCAAAAACATCACTTTAGGACCAGACTGCACCTGGCTTTAAGGATTCCACAAGAGAATCTTAAAAAGTCAACATGCTCTAAGATTACAAGAATAACAAGACTCAAAGATGCTGACATTGCAAAGGCATAATCTCACGTTTTACATTCTTTTACTACTGAGTTATTAGGAATGATTCAAGAAGCTTCAGAAAAATCAAAGACTAAAAAGCCAAGTTAGGTAACAAAGTCTATTATTATTATGCCTCTCTGGTGTTTTGTGATGTACATACCATCAATACTTCGGAAATCCAATAAATACGTTCGACTGTCCACTTGGTATAACTGTAGGCTCATTTTGGAGTACGTACTTGTCACAGGATTCTTTCTTCGAACTCGCAAATAGTATGGGTTTACAACCTAGCGTATTGTGTGGACAAAGACAGCGTCAAACGCAATTCTTCTACAAAACACTACAGGTTTGCAAATGTACTAATTAACAGTCAGAATGCTCTTTCCCTCCTACCTTCCATTCATAATCCAGTTGTTTAATTGCTCTACAGACTTCTGCCATGATATCATTTGGTCGACTCTGACTTCTAATTCCCAAATGCCATTTTGCTTTCCTTACACCTTGGTGTTTGGATTTCTGTGGATTTAACTCATCGAGGGTATGGCGTGCCCTTGGTGTTTCGGCAACCAAGAAGGGCACTCGTTCGGGATGGGGCCGAGTCAAATGGTGATCGTCGAGAAAAGAATCAGGCGGGCTGGTGGCCAGGTAAAAATCCTTGGCCTCGTTCATGATCCTCCGGTTATCGATGATGAGGTGGTAGGCGACCGCCAAGGGGTCCTGGTGGTTTCTGTTGTACAGGCAGCTGAGGACCTCCTCTTCGGAGCACTCGAACTTGTCACACACCTCCTTCAGGGCTTCATCATCGATCATGGTGGAGCTGTACGACGGGTCCTCCGGAAAGAGGTATTTTGGAAGATCCTGCTTGAACCACTCGTGTTCCCTGAGAGAAACAGGCAGGGCCAGCAGAAGGACTGTGAGTACAGATGAGACTGAAAGCAACGGTCTGGAGAACTGAGGATACAAATTCATGTGTATTTATACTCATACTATATCGTCATTTTTTTAAACGGAGACTTTCTGGCTCACATTTCTTTGTATGTTTTAGAGGAAATGCTGCGGCCTCCCTCTGATTTCAAGAGGGAGAAGGCATCACTATAGTAACAGGAAAAGAAACGCAGATACTTTAGATTACATTTAAACTGTAAAAATGTTAACAAGAAAAAGCATCTCTCACTCAGATATTCCACAGTGTGAATCTCAGAACATGATCTGTCCCTTTCGTCAGCTGGTAGGACCACGCCCCGACCCTGCGGCCCATCTTGGCGGGTCTGCAGCCCAGTGAAGGGAGAGGACCTGGGCGCTGCGTGCCCAGGTAACCTTTCCTCCTCCCATCTCCCTGACGCTTCCCTGTCTCCTATCCCAGATCCACACCTGATTTCCTCCTTCCTTGTCCCTCCATCTTGGAGAAATGTGTCGTCTACTGAGACTTCTCCAAAGACAAATTCCCATGGGGGTGGGGGGTGGGAAGGGACAGAATAGTAGAAGAAACATTGCTTGCAGCCAACTGTAAAAGTCAGAAATGGCTCACCCAGCCCTGACCTCTGTGGCTCAGTTAGCTGGGAATTTTCCTGCAAAGAGAAAGGTCACCAGTTCGATTCCCAGTCACAGCACATGCCTGGGTTGTGGGTTTGGCCCCCAGTTGGGGCGTCGACCAGAGGCAATCAATCGATGTTTCTCTTGAACATCAATGTTTCTTTTCCTCTTTCTCCCTCCCTCCCCTCGCTCTAAAAATAAATAAAATGAAGTATATTTTTAAAATTTGAGAAGTAAATTTGTCACCATCACTTTTGTGATGGTACCATCACTAACAGCTTATTTAAGCTATTAGTTTGAACCACATGAAAACTGCCATGTGGACAGACTTTTTACCTGCAGAACAGCAATTTCATACATGATTCAATGTCTGCTACTACAGAAAATACATGTCAATGGCTATTAAAATGTCCTCATTCCTTGAGATGAACAAAAGGAGAAAATATAATTCGTAATATCAGAACCGAAATTGCCACATTAAGTTTACTACTGAAGAGTGTTAATCCTGATGGGAACACACAGAGTCAGACACGAGGCACACTGGAGAACAGCTCAGAGGACCACTATGAAAATCGAACAGTCTTCTGCTGTCCTTTCTTTATTAGTTAGTTTTTAATTTAAAAAGCAATGCAATGTTCATTATTATAATTTCAAAACAAAGACGCATAGTAAAAAGTGCAAACCCTCCCTCCTCCCAATCCTACGTCCCTAAGGTAGCCAGTACGGTGTGTATTTTTAAATAACAAAATTAATAAATGTGTCTATACACTATTTTTAACATAAAGACAGCACAGGCTGCCCTCTAACTGTTTCTGTCCCTTCCCTCACATCACCGACACCATGGGATCTGGCCGCCCCCGGTGGCTTTGTCACCTGATGTCTTTGACTGTGGCCCTCTTCATGGGGTCCACCTGCAGCATGTGCTTCAGGAGGCTGATCACAGAAGGGTTTAAATACTGCGGGGTGTAGAAGATGCCGTCACATATCTTCTTGAAAAGGGTTGGCACGTGGTCATCGTCAAACGGAAGGGTCCCACACAGTAGCGCATAGAGGATGACCCCGCTGCTCCATATGTCTACCTCCGGACCCGCATACAGTCTGTAACAGGAAACACCCACCGGGTTAAATGGTCACCACTAACTTAAGGGTCCGTCGCTGTGCAAAAATGTTAAGAATGGATACTGAGTAAGTACAAGGGGGAACCCCCCAAAAAACTGGAATTCATCTTCTGGAGGGTGGGCCCCTGGAAATACAGGCTTCCCCACTCAGGTGAGTGTTCTAGGAACCTGTCTGTATCAGTGCACCTGCTGGCACTGCTGTGAGAGGCTGCGTTTGTTCAGCTTCACGGAATTTCTTTTGAAGACTCTTCCAACACGTCTGCCCTTTTCATGATGGGTGATTTACGAGCACGCCTGCTGACACCAAGCAGTGTTCAGCAGTTTTTGGCCAAAAACAGCCTGACCCCAAAGCCGTGCCCTCCCTATTCATGCAATCTCCCCCTAAGCTACTTTTTCTCTTTTCCCCCATGAAAAAAGTCCTCAAAGAGAAACATTTTGCTGATGTGGAAGAAGTGAAACAGAAAACAGGAGAAGCACTAAAAGGCATCATAATTGACGGGGGTTCAAAGCAGTGGAAACCGTCTCGGTGGGTGTACTGCATCATGTAGAGAGCACTTTAAAGGTGACTGAGGTTTAAACACGTTAGAATAAACACACGGCTTTTTATAAATAGATTCTGGGGTTTGGGGGGTCCCCCCTTATAACTATTAGTCAGAATACAGCTTGTGTAATCAATGCTGAATACTACACATAAAGATTTTATACTAATTCTATCAGTACTTTCTTTGAAAACAAAAGAACTTTTTTTTAAGTTATAGACTATAGCTGAACTTCTGTCCTCCCTACCTTACACAGTCCTTATGAGATCCAACCAATAAGGCCAAGCCTTGAACAAATATATCATCACTGAATTTAAAACCCTCATAGTCTGGTTACAGAGGAGGGAGTAAACGACCTTGGCCGGAGGCTGGGGAAGGCAGCCAAGCGCACTGGTTCACAGACCACTGTGTTTGCAATACACTGTAGCCAACCGACTATGCTAGTTGCAGACTATTAGAAAAGCCATTCCAAGTTGGGCTTCAGAGAAAGGACTTATTTAAATTGTTAAATAAATTGTTCTACTGATAACAGGCACTGTTTTGAAAGTAAAAGTTCCCATTCATATGATCTTACATAAAGGCTTATGCAAACCAAGAAAATCCAACTTCAGTCATGGCCTGTTGCATAAATGCGTGACCATGATAACTTATTTCTATTTATTTAACCTTGCCCCCAGGATCTGGGGTCCTGAATTGTTTTCTCCCCTAAAGAACTGAGACAACACAAATGAAATATTTATTCATAGAATTTTAAACATTAATATAAAATGATGAAACTCAGTAAATCTAAATTTAGGATGCCTCTGCCTTATTCATAGCAATGACCTGACAGAAATACTTCTCCGAGCGAGTCAGGCAAGCGAGCTGATGGACACAGAAGGAAATGCTCTAATGTCTCTGCACTGCGAATTAATCAGGATGTGGGAAACGCAAACAAAGAAACACGTTTTAAATAAAAGTTCTTAAAAGTTAACTATTAAAAACTAGCAAACAAAAGCAACCTTCTGTTTTGAATTTCAGTGGTATAGTGAACAATTACTCTTAACGAAATTAAATTTCCCTGTTGTCTAAACTATTCAAAAAGCTGTACCTTACAAAGATTCTCATCTTCCCAAACATTAGGTTAGTAAATTGAGAGGCCAGATTTTTTTTAATTTTGCAGTCTCTAAAAGATTTTTTAAATGAAAATTCAAAATGCACGAGGTCTGAAGATTTTACTAATACTTGAGTCCAATTCTCCAACCTTAAGCTACTACAAAATACCATCTATTTAAAAAAAAGGTACACATTATACTTTTAATTCTTCATCTAAGTAAACAATAAGCCATTCTAGCTATTAGATATTTCTGTATTATTCAAGTTTTTAATGTGGTACCTCTCTTTAAAACTCACTATTGTTAAAGCTTCAGTTTCTTCCACCAGGAAAATAACTGTTCTCATCTAACTACTTTACTATAATATTGACTTTGCATACCAACATTTTCCTCCATAAATGGAGTCCTTAATTACAGTGTTTTATTCTTAAAACAGAACATTTTCTGGATAAGAAAAGAGTAAGCCTTAAGCCTCTCTCCTCTCATCAGAATTAAACACTACAGGCACTACAGACTAGCAAAAGCCAGGCGAGAATGACCATTACAAAGGCATGGAGGGCGGGGAGAGTCAGATACTACCTTCCTGAAATTACTTCGGGTGCAGCATAGTTGGGGGAGCCACAACTTGTTCTTAAAAATTCACCATCTGACATCATGTTTGAAAGACCTGAAAATGCACAAAATCAACTACTCAAGATTTCCCAAGGACAAAAATAAAAGCAAAACTCCATTAAACAATACAAGTGAGTTTGCATTAAGGAAATAAATCATTTTATGCTTTGCTCTAACAAAATTTATAGTTTTGTTAGAACTATAACATTCCCAAATATTTTGCCATTGTGCCCTAAAATTTGTCATGTATTTCAACATTTAAAATTAGTGCACTTTGGGAGTTTAATGTGTATATATTAAGCTATTAGTTACTGTGCTTACTAGAATAAACTTGACGTTTAAATTTTACTAGTACAGAAATTACTAAGGAAAAATGTAGAACAGAGGAGTAGAAGAATTAAAAGTTTCTCTCAACCCCTGTTCTGATTCTTTAATAAGATATAATAATTTCAGAAATCAAGGTTTCCTCATAGTTTTACTCCAAAAAGACATCTCTGCCTTCCCCAAAATGTCCTGTATAAAAATGATTAGCACAGTTGTGGTACAAGACAGTCAGATAATGTAGTCAACTACCAAAGAACAAAACAAAACAAAACAATAATAGCTTAGGGCTGCCGGCACTGCTCAGTGAATCTCCAGACACTAAAACATATACACACTCAAAGCTGAGGAGAATACAAGACTCTCCTCTGAGTGGAACCGAAGCAACAGAAAGTTGCAGAGATTCATTTTTCACTCAGATTTCATAATGCTGATGGCCATTTAGGTAAGAAATAAAGGGAAAGTAAACTCACTTTGATGATCCGAATAATGTTCCTCAAGCTGAAATCATGTTTTTCTCAAGTTGAAATTGGTTTTCTATCATTTAAAATACCCTTTCTTTGCCCTGGCTGGTATGGCTCAGTGGATTGAGTACCAGTCTGGAAACCAAAAGGTCACGGGTTCGATTCCCAGTCAGGGTACATGCCTGGGTTGTGAGCCAGGTCTCCAGTTGGGGGCGTGTGAGAGGTAACTGATTGATGTTTCTCTCACATGTCCATATTTCTCTCCCTTTCTATCTCCCTCCCTTCCTCTCTCTCTAAAAAGTAAATAAATAAAATAAAATAAATACCTTTTTCTTCCTAAAATAACTTTATTCATATAGTTTACCTTCTGGCTTTCCTCGCTTGCATAACTGCACCCCAGGCTCTTTCCTCTCTCTCCATAACTGATCAAAAGGACACACTGGCAACAGGTCGCTAACTCCTCCTTCATATGTAACAAATGGGCTCCGTCAAGTAATGTCTCTACTGCCACCGACTTACACGGTTTGCCCGCTGTCACAAAACGCAGTTTGAAAGACACACAGCTAAGAAGAGAGAATTCCTTATTTTCCCCTTCGTATATGTGCTCGTGAACAGAACAGTGCAGATTCGCTACTCTGGGAAACTCGGTCCGTGACACACAGGTACACGTTATCTGAGGACACACGGCGGCCCACACAGCGAACGGAGGAAACCGAACCCCTCACCAAAGTCGGCTATCTTGGCGTTCATGTGCGCGTCGAGCAGGACGTTTTCCGGTTTCAGGTCCCTGTGGACCACCATGTGCCTGTGGCAGTAGTCCACGCCAGAGAGGATTTGTTGGAACAGACGTCGACTTTCTTTTTCATCCAGCTAAGAAAAGCAGAGAGACATCTTAAAGGTGTGTCTTTCCAAAGAAATTCTTCTACCTACAGTTCTCCGAGCTATAAAACCGTACGATGCACGAACCCTTCCAATGAACCTCACTTGTAAGATACTTCTGAAATGCACAGGAGGGACAGGCAGCCGGAGCGGAAGTGCTCAGAGGGTCCCGGAACCGAAATCGGCAGCCCGGCCTGCTACCGTCCGCGCCCTCCTGAGGGCGGCGTCCCAGCCTGCGCTCCTCCCGTCTCACCAGCCAGTTCAAATCACGCCGAGTTCTGCTTAAAACTAGGCTGCTTCCTCCCATAAGTTCAGAACGTTTCATCATCACTGTGCCACGTAGTGTTTAAGGATATATAGCAACAAGTAAAACAAAGGGCCTAATACAGTTGATAAAAATAGACAACTAAGTAAATGAGTGACAGTGCTCTGGAGAAAAATAAAGCAGGGTAGGACACAGAGAGTGACGTTGTGGTAGGGACACTATTTTAAGCTACAAGAGGAATTAACATTTAAGCACTGCTAATAAATTAGCAAGCAACCATCTTATTTTATGTTCTGAAATAAAAGACATTTTAATTCTAACAAAAGAAAAACCTTAATTTCATTTATTTTACAAAAATATAAAAGCATTTATCTCTAATCTGCTTACTGAAAAAATTATGCTGCAAATACATTTTTTAGCTCAATATTTATTTTATTTTTAATTTTTTCTTTTTTTTATTGTTGGTCAAGGATGGTTGTCTCCATTTTCCCGCACATTTTTGAAAATAGTCTTTTAAAAATTCTTTTTTTCAGCCTGGCTGGTGTGGCTCAGGTGGCTGGAGCACCATCTACAGACTGGACTCCCCGTCCGGGAGCAGGCCCTGCCCTGGTGTGTACGAGAAGGCAGCCCCAGACAGTGTTCCTCTGTCACAGCAACGTCTGTCTGTCTGTCTCCCCTCCCCCAGTCTCTCCCTCTAAAAGCAATGAGAAAACGTCCTCGGGCAAGGATAAAAAAAATAATAATAAATAAATAAAATTAAAATTAAAATAATACAATAAAATACTCTTTCCATTTATCTGTATTTCTTTGTTTTTTCCATAATCATTACTTAGACATACTTGCCCCTAACAAGTCATACTTAATAAAAAGCTATTAATCCTTTAGGTGAAGGAGTCTACTACACAGTTCTGTGACCACAAAACTGAACCACAAATTAGCATTCTCAGAGTAGACTTTTGTACCTTAAATGACATGGACAATCTGGGAGAAAGATGAAATGATTTTTTAATGCAAAATTAAAACTACCAAAGTACTATGATATCCTTCCTCTGAAAAAAATACGACTGCATTAGCAATCTTAACACCTTTACTTCTAGAAGAAATGTAGGTTCATTTTTTAATACTTTATATCAAATACACTAAAGGAAAAAAAGAATGCATTCTAAATGTGAAAGAGAAGAAAACTGATTAAACAAAATGTAAGTGGTAAAATAAGTAGACAGGCTACAAAAATGAAGATTACACTATATTACTAACACAGCACGAAGGAATGAAGGCGGAAACTGCGACGGAAGATTAGAAAAGACAAAGCACATTTCTGGTTACACACGGCAGGCTGAACCGTCTGTCTATGCTCCTTGAACTATTACTGAAGTGGCATCATTAGATAAGGACAGACAGAACCAGAGGAGACAGCTATCAGGGGCAGCCAAACTGGAGTGTGGATGCACAGTGATACACACTTCACCGGCCAGAAGACCCCTGAACACAAGCCGACGGGGATGGAAAGCAGCCATGAACCTGCCTCTGCACAGGACCCTGGAAAACTCGGGAGGTGGGAGTATTGGTAATTTTTGAAGGTAGAAGCAAGAGGTGGGCTGACAACCAGTTGAAGAAAGAAATGTCCAACTCCCCTCTGCTAGGGAAGAAGACCGTGATTTACTCTTCAGTGAGGCTGACCCAGCTCTGTCCTCAAGGACTCCAAGGCGGGCATGAGGCGCCAGAAGGAAAACAGGGGGATTAAATGAAAGTCGACAAACTGACCGGGAACACCCTGCAGCCCCCACCCCACTCAGGGAGCCGGCAGCTAAGCGGGTGCTCTCAGGGAGACCGGAAGGCTTCTTGTGGAGCGACTGTCTACCCAAGGAAAGGTATTCATGATTGCTGATGTGCCCTAACACGACGGCCGGGTCGCCACCTAGTCAACCTGTGGGGAGGCCCACCAATCAGTAAGTTCCACCCGCGTGAGCCTGGCCTATAGTACCTCGCTTTCCAATGCAGGGACAGTGAATGAGGGGGGGCCAGTGCGCAGAAGACAAGGACCGACAAAGGGAACGACAGCAACATAATGAGACGGAGCACAGAGCGTGCAGAAACAGTGCAGGGAACACAAGAAAAAGTTTCACTGCCATTTTCAGACAGATAAGAGTATCACATTTGTGGAGGAAAAAAATAGGCTATTTAAAGAAAGAACATTTCAGGAACCAAGATCTTTGAAATAGAAAATGACAAATGAAATTTTAATAAGCAACAGATAAAAACTGAAGAAAATTCCCATAAAGCAAACTGACCAAAAAAAGAAAAAGAAAAATAGAAAAGAGAACGAAGATCCCCCTCAATGTGTGCCTACTTCCATCTTCTCCAGGCAGGAAGGGACGGAGGGGTAGGAGCGGGAGGCAGCACAGTGAACAGGGAAGTGCAGTGTCTAAAACTTCAATGAACCACGGTAAGAACTGGCCAATCAAAATTAACGTGAATAATAAGCTGAGTCTGGTGAAAGTAAACATACAGAGGACGAAGGAATGAATGATGTAAAGACCTTCAGACTGGGAAGGAAACACAAAGGGTTCTCAGTTCTGGACACGGCTCTTCCATGAGAGGCTTCTGCGCGCCACGCAACCTGGATGTGAGAAACGTGTGGGCGGGGGCAGCGTGCGGGTTTTGTATCTGTTAACTCAAGACTGCTCAAATGTCTTCTAAAGCTCCTTCCAGTCTAAATTCTTTAAGTCTAATTCCTGCTTCCTTCATGCAGCCTGTTCTTACTACTCTGGGTACATCAGATTTCTGAAACCAAGAAATGAATGCAAGCTAAATGTGGTAGGGCTAACCAGCAAGGCCTGGCTCTGTAAGTATTAGGGACATTTTGTAAGGATTAAATATATACAATATTTCAAGACATATATTAAAAGCATTTGTAGGCCCCAGAGCATGGAGCCTAAGGATCATGAGTTCTGGGATCTCGTTACAATTCTGTCATGAATAAATCACATGACCTTGAGCGGTTACATACACTATATACACTGTGAGTCTCCCCACATCTGTGTAAACTGACTAAGGAAATAATCTATAAGGTCCTTACTATTCTAATAATCTATGATTCTAGACAAATATATGACTAAGGGAAAAGATTATTAAATAGACCTCTTAACAAAATTGCTTTCCAGTATCTTAAAGCTCATAAGGGACAAGGAGAATTACAAAACAGATACAGGATTAAATCAGAACTGCTTACCCTTCCATTTTTACAGATATAATCAAATAGCTCTCCTCCTGAGACATATTCCATCACCATGAAAATGTCAGAAGGTGTACTGATGACCTGGTACCTGGTGAGAGAAAACATTGCCTGCCAACGTTAAAACATGCATGTTTATTCATTCAATAAATGTCTACTAAGTGCCCACAATATTCCAGGTACTGCACTAAGAGCTGGGGAAACTGCAGGAAGCAAAACATTTCCGCCCTCCTGGAGTTCATGTTCTAGGAGCCAGGAAACAAACATTAAATGAACAGGCAATGAGTCGGGTGGTGGCACATGCTAGGAAGAGGAAGAGAGCAAACCAAGGGTGATCTTTCACATGGAGCCCAAGGAAGGCCTCTCAGACAGAGCAGTATCCGAGCAGAGCCCCGTGGAAGTCAGGGAGCAAACTGTGCCACTGTCCAGGAAGGAGGTGACCCAGGCAGAGGGAGCAGCAAGCACAAAGGGCACCCCCCAGGTGGAAGCCTGCCTGGCACGTTTAAGCCATGGTAAGAAGGCTGGCAGGGGGAGCTGGGACAGAGAAACAGACGTGGAGTCGAAGAGGTAACGGGAGACCCAAGGGCAGAGAACCTTCCAAGCCATGACAGAGCTGTGGCTCTTACTCTAAGGGAGACGAAGGTTTTAGACAAAGCAGGCGTGTGGTCTGGCCTAGACACACGTTAGCGGTGGCAGCATCACGAAGAACTGACCGTAGATAGTCCAGGTGGACGCAGGAGCTGCGGAAGCAGTCCCTGCGCAACCTGGAGGCAACTCAGACCAGGCTGATGGCTACGAAGGAGCTGGAAGGAAGATGTGGGATGGAGGGTGGGAAGTGAGAGCAACGGGGAAGTTAAGTTTCCACCCCAAGGAGCTGGACATTCACCGAGACGGTGCAAACTGTGGGGAGGGCAGGTTTGGGAGGGTAACAGCTCAGTTCCAGCCAAGCGGCCTTTCTTGTGCTCTGTGGACACCCATGTGGACGACTAAAGCAGGTGGTGGGCACGAGCCTGGGGCTACGGGAAGAGGCTTCGAAGCAGAGGTGGGTGTTCAGGGGTCATCAGCGTACGGATGGTGTTTACAGCCACTGCACCTCAGTAAATGAGGTGAGTGGAACCGATCTGGACTCAGCCAGCTCAGCACAGAAATCGCAGCAGTTTCAACCTGCAGTCTGTGGAACAAAGCTGAGCAGTAAACGAATCATCTGAAAACCCTACAGCTGGAGACTGTAAAACAACAGTAACAGCACTGCCCTTCTGAGATACTGGGTTCCTGATCTTCTGAACAGTTACTTGTTTGATCAGATGTACACAACACGGGAGAAACCCTTTCCGCTGCGTCAACTCTACCGAGGCTCACTGACGTGTGGATGTGGTCCTAGCAATCGCTGCGGGCTCTGCGGCGCGCAGGGCACTGCACGCTCTCCATCAGAAGGGCACGGATGCAGAACACAAAACAGCACGGGAAGGTAACGGCTGACGAGCACAAGGGCAGAGCAGGGACACAGGCTTAAGTGACATGGGATGGGGTGAGACAAACACAGGAACAGGAAGCAACTTCGAAAGCCTCAGGAACAGACAAAGGAAAAGACAGTCATCTTTCTCACTTCTCGTACTAATTAGGCAACAAAAGTGATGAAAAAAGTGACAGCACTGTACGTGATACAATCGGAGCTTACAGTTTAATAATGTGAGGATGCCTGAAGAGCTTGAGGTTCTGGATTTCCCTGCGGATCTTCCCCACCACGTCGAGGCTGCGGATCTTCTGCCGGTTGAGTATCTTCACCGCAACTTTGTGCCCGGTCAGCTCGTGCCTGCCGACTGTGGGGGGAGCGTGTCAAGGTTAGTGCCCGGCCTGCCGGGTACTTACGCAGACATATTCCAAGAGTGGTAATCCTAGCAGTCTGGGAAATTTCACTTCCTTTCACCCCCACCCGACTGCCCGTGTTTACACGAGCAGGTAAGTGGGAGAACACAGGAGAACCAGAAACACTGGCTCCTTCCAGGAAGCTGGACGGCTAAGGGAGAAAGGCGAGACAGAGCCTTCTGTTTGCACTTTTAAATTCTCTTCATTTATTTTTCATTCATAAAACTATAACATCACACATACAAATTGAATCACACACGCATTTTTTCTTTTGGTGTGCAGTTCTACAGATTTTAACACGCGTGGGTACTGGCGTCACCACCATCACCAGCAGACACAGACGAGCTCCGTCACCCCACAAACCTCCCTGCCCGTGACCCTGGGACCCTCTGAAAACGTGGTTCGTGGGCATGTAGTTTCCATTTTTTAATGTAAGAAAAAAAAATTAAGTGATTATCTTTTAATTTTGAATGCAATGCCCTGATATTCAAGGGTGACAGAATTCGGACATTTCTACAGAGGCAAAGTCTCCAAAAATCTCACCCTTTCTCCAGAACCAAGACGAGGGTACCCACTACAGGAGAAAAACGAACAGGACCCCCAATATGGTAATGGAGTGAAGTCCTAGGTGAACAGATACGCAGCAGGCCCGGAAGGCAACCAATCCACACAGAAATGTGACAGGGAAGCCAACGTGGTTACTTCCATGGGGGGGAGTCTTCCAGGTGTGGAAGTGGGGAATACTGTACTGACAGAATTTACAGAGACATTTGAAGATGTGGGGAATTTCAATGTAGGTTCAAAGAAAACTAAACATGAAAACATGAGGTAAGAACTCCAGGGAAATTAAAAGTTCTATAGAAAATATAGTCATGACATTGGCTTACCAAACAGTTCTGATACAGTCACAATTGTGGAAGCACAGAATGTGGATTTTTCAAAGAATGACATAAGGTTATTAGGAGAACGAAGGGGTAGAGGAGAGGTATAAGAGAATATCTCCATCTACTGTAACAGGAAGTCAACAAAAAAAGCCTGTCACTAAGAATTAAGAGACAGCTTGTATACATAAATATGTCAATTAGAAATGTGGAGGTTTTTTAAGATTTTATTTATTTGTTTTTAGAAAGGGGAAGGGGGGGGGAGAGGAAGAGAAACATCAGTGTGTGGTTGCCTCTCATGTGCCCCCCCACTGGGGACCCGGCCAAGAAGCAGCAGCTGAGAGCTAAAAATGGGGACAGAACCTCTTAGCACTATTTGACCTTTTAAAACATACATGTATTACTTTACAAAAAATTTAATTTTTAAGTATGTGATTCAGGGTTTTAGCTTTACAGGAAGAAAATGGTCTCTTTGAAATTAGAACTCAGTGTGTAAGACATTATCAGAGAGCTCTCCCTGGCAATCTGGATCATTACCAGCTGAAATTATGGTAATGATAGAAGCAATCCCTCCTTCGGCATTTGTATTTGTTGTGGGCTGACGCATGTCTCTCCCAAACTTTATATACTGAAACCCTGACCCCTCGTACCTCAGAATGTGACAGTATTTGGAGACGAGGCCTGCAGAGAGGTGACTAGGTTAAAATGAGACAATTCAGGCAGGCCCGAACCCCTCCTCGCGGTGTCCCCGTAAGAGGAAATCTGGACACACAGAGAGACCCCAGGGGCACACAAGGGACACTGTGAGCCCGGAGGGGAAGGCGGGCCACCTGGAGTCGAGCTGCGAGGCCTCAGAAGGAACCAAACCTGCTGCCACCTGGATCTCAGGCTTTCGACTGCAGACGGTAAGAAAGTAAATTTCTGTTGTTAACGCTATTCAGTCAGCAGCACATTGTTTTGGCAGCCCTAGCAGATTATTACAATATTTTTTACTATTTCTAAGTTCAAAACTCTATATTGATACTTTGAACTTCTTGTGTTTAAAACGTTATCTAGCCTGGCTGGTGTGGCGCAGTGGATTGAGCACGGGCCTGCGAACCAAAGCATCTCCTGTTCGATTCCCAGTCAGGGCACATGCCGGGGTGGTGGGCCAGGTCCCCAGTAGGGGGCGCGTGAGAGGCAACCACACATCCCCCTCTTTCACTCTCCCTGTTTCTCCCTCCCTTGCCTTCTCTCCAAAAATAAATAAAATCTTTTTTTTAAAAAAACATTATCTTAAACAAAGAATTTTTCTCAGGCCAATCTTACTTGGCTTTCCAGCTTCATCTGGAACTCGGGATGGAGCCGAACCTCCCCATCCCTGCAAACCCCCAACAAGGAGAGCCCTGCAGATCAGGTTCAGAGGCTTCTGCTCCCATTTCTCCCCACCACCCCACCAAGACAATGAGTGATTGGGCCAGAGCCAGGGAGGGGGCTGCTCCTCGTTATTTTGAATTTTTTAAGCATTCGCTACTCTGCTTAAATATTTTAATTAATAATGTTAAACCCAAAGCCAAATTACACAGATATTTCACAACGGGAGAAAAAAGTCTTTGTTAAGTAAGACTCAAAGTGTTTAATCATAGTCCTAATTCTCAATCCTTTTCTTCCTTTTTTTAAAAAAGATTTTATTTATTTATTTCCAGAGAGAAGGGATGAGAGAAAGAGAGACAACATTGTTTGGTTGCCTCTCGTGTGCCCCTTACTGGGGACCTGGCCCACAACCCAGGCCTGTGTCCTGACTGGGAATCAAACCGATGACCCTTTCATTCGCAGGCCAGCACTCAACCCACTGTGCCAGTTCAGCTTTCATTTTGACCAGACCCTTTAATTAACCTTCATGGTGCCTCTGAAAAGCAAATCTCACAAGCTAATAAGCAAATGTCCAACTGCAGCCCAGCCTGCTGTAACCAAAAGGATTATCTCAGAATCAAAGAGTAAAGTGCCATTTTTAAGCTACTATAATATAAAAGGAAACTCTAAATTTAAATACCCTTTATATAATTCAACTAATCTCAAAACCATCCATGGCTAAGAAATTATAGCAGCTTCCTGAAAGATGGCAGAGTAACGGAATGCACCGTATATACGACAAGGTCTGTCTGGAAAAAGTCCAGCCATTGTTAACATAACAAGAATGGTTTGTACAACACTGCTGTAACCTGGCAGCCAAGGAGTGTGGACTGGACTGCGCATGTGTGAACAATGAGGACTTCAATGCAGTAGCCAGTGGGGGGCGGTAGACACTGTTGAGTGAGCACGTGCACTGTGTGGCCATCCATTCAAAAGAACTGAGTAAAACAAAGAATCTGCATCAAATTTTGCATTAAGCTTGAACATCCCTCTGCGGAGACTACTGAGATGATTCAGAGGCCACAGCCATGGGAAACTGGTGACTGGCAGCTTCACCACGACAATGCACATTCTCATGCATCACATCTCATGCAGGGTGTTTTTGTGAAACATCAAATCATCCAGGTGACTCAGTCACCCCACAGCCCAGAATTGGTGCCCTGTGACTTCTGGCTTTTCCCAAAACTAACATCACCTTTGAAAGGGAAGAGATTTCAGACCATCAATCAAATTTAGAAAAATACAACAGGGCAGCTGATGGCGATGGGGAGAACTGTGTGAGGTCCCCAGGTGCCTGCTTTGAAGGGGATGGAGGCACCGTTGTCCTGTGTGCAATGTTTCTTATATCTTGTATCTTCTTCAATAAATGTTTCTATATTTCATATTATATGACTGGATACCTTCTGGACAGGCCTTGTGCTTCTATCAAAACCTTATTAAAATATATGTGAAATTAGTGAGGAAGAAAACCCTACAGCCACAGTGAAAATGAACTGTGGAAATCAAGCACATTCTTATTCCTGATAAGGCTTTCTTCATTTTCCAATACCAAACAGACGTGATTAAGAGCAATCAACTTGACTGTGAAAATACAATTCAAGAAGTATTTTCTTTCTGAGATCTAGTTTATTGATATCTAAAGAAGTAGTAATCTCATCTGTCTTGCAACCCCCAAAACCTCCAAGCCCTGTCTTACTTACTAGGAACCTTTGCCCATTACCTGCAAAGATGAAACACTGGGAAATTCGCACACTATTGGTAATGCTGGCCAACTGAGACTTGGAAATATTAAAGCAGAATCCATTTAGGCCTGAACTCCATCATAAATCAACCCGTCTCCTCTCACATCATACCCTGCTCAATTTAATTTCAACCCTAAGTAGCTTTAAGAAACAACTGGAGCTATTCAAACCAGACCATGCACCATTAAACAGGGAACTGCAGGAGGGGATCCAAAGCATTCTCTCAAGTGCACTCCCTTGGCGCCCTGTGCTAAGCACCTACGCTCTGCCAGTTCATGCCGCCAGGAAAAACGGCACTGACCAAAAGTAACCTGGGTCCTGCGACCTTCCTGGCCTCCAAGGATGACCAAAATAATTATAAGGTTAGAAAAAATTATAGTACCAAAGAAGAAAAGGGGGGCAGAGAATACACATTAAACTCACCCAGAAGTGAATGTTTTAGGAAAAATTACTAACTACTTCAGGGTGATGGTTAACAGAATGTAGAAGTTATGAAATTAGAGCAGAGCAAGACAAATTTTGCATCAAAAGTAATTTCAAAAGCAGTTAAGTTGTAGCAAAAATGTGACAAAAATTTATAGAACACATACCAAAAAATAAGGAGGAAATTAGCAAGAGTAAGAGGGAAGGGAATACGGAACCAAGTAAAATTTAATTCATGAGTAGAGAGTAGAGTATCATCCCACCTACAAATAATAAAAGTAACCCCCAAGGGATAAACAGAATGAAATCGAGGTACAGCTCAAAACTCTTTTCCTCATACATGAATGTCTCATCAGATTAGAAATCAGCAGTATAAAGGCATAACTTCTTCACTTTTTTAGAAAACAAGCACCCAAGTCCAACTGTGCAAACATTCACATAAAAATAGGGACCGTGGCCCGGGGGGTCGGCGCCCAGCCAGCCATTGCAGAGTCATTCGGACGCACATGTGCGCAC